TATGCCTCAGAGCCCGACCAACTAAACATAACCCAACGACGATTGCACAAGATCATTCCGTGGTTCAGTATATCCAGAAACAGCAAAGTTCCGCGCTCCGAAGACGATGTCTACATCGGTTCAGTTCCTTGGTGGACAATACACGCCACGGCGGATACCACATCAATCCATGATGACGAGCAGTACACGACAAAATTTGGCTGGCTCGCCTCCCGCTATAGGAAAACTCGTTGGTGGTTCTTTGTCATTTGGCTGTTCTACGAATTCGTTCGAGCATGCTTCCTTGCCGGCGCATCTACCCAGCCCTTCGTCCAGGTATTCGGTCTACTTGCCGTTGAGATTGTTGCCTTCATCGCCTTCATCATTCTTCGACCATTCGAAGGACAGCGCCTGAACGTTTTGGCCGTGTATCTTCTCGGCTTTAGCAAGATTACTACTACAGGTCTTTCGGCAGCCTTTGATACACGGTTTGGTGTCGCTCGTATCCCTACAACCGTTATTGGCATCATCATAATCGTCATTCAAGGTCTCTTGACGGTGGCCGTGATGGTTTTGATCCTGATCGGCGCTGTCTCAAGCTACCTGTCCATCTTGCGGGACCGCGAACGGATGGCGCCGTTGAGCTGGAACCCGATACGTGAGAAGTACTTTGCACATATCGACTTCGCAGTGCAAGATGCTCCGCGACCACGTGCGGTGTCGATGCACTCGATGCCAGAGTTACTGAAGACACCGTACTTTGAAGTGCGACATGTGAAGCGGATAGCCAAGGTTGAGGACGAGGATGACGAGTTCATGCGAGAGATTGACAGCGATCATGCGACGTCCGAACTCTTGCTGCCTGAGGAAAGTCACGATACTCCCACAGACCGGCCCACCCAACGGCACAGGAGTGCAACTCTCCAGTCGCAAGCATCTTACTCAAGTCTACCCAAGGCGGCTCGCCTGCATCGCCCCAACTGGAGCACAATGAGTCCCGGGCGCCACAGGGCTTTGAGCGAAGCTCATATGAAGACTCCCAAGCAAAGTCATGAGACGATCGATACGTATCCAAGTCCACTTGGCATTTGTACCAATCAACCCAATACACCAGCTCTTTCTTCTTCGGTGCTGTCGGACGCAGGCAATGTCGCCACCCCGGATAAGCAAGCGACCAGTCGACTGACATCGGTCTCGCGATCGGGCTCGAGGCCCAAACTGGAGATTAGGATCACCGAGGAGACTACTATACCTCCCATGCCGAAGCATAACAATGCAGACTAAGCTCGGAACCATACGAAGCAGCCATAGAACCAACATCAGCAGCAGCAGAGACCTATAAGCCGAGTACATCCTCACGCAACAGCTTTCGATCAGCTTACCCCAGTATGATACGACGGTATATGAAGACAGGTCAACCAAGAAAAAAACCGAACAGGCCTGCAGCCTACATCAACATGAAAACCTATGATATAGGTGACCTGGCATCGACGTATGCTCTTGACCTGTTTGGTTTTTTTCTTGTATGAGGCGAAGAGCTCAACGAATTCCCATAAACATCGCATCGATCATCGAACATCGCTTCGGCACATCTGTATTGGTCTTTCAACACAGCATCAGCAATGAATACCCATGATTCTTCGACAACAACCTATATACCCACAGCAACAAGCCGACGACATTTCCTTTTCCATTTTCCTCAGCAGCATGAAGTTAGCAGTATCTGCATGGCTTCGCGACGGGAGAAAGAGCATCTCGGCGCTTGATTTACGATGTTGGATACGGCATGTTTACGAAGTGTATGAACAACAAACAAAGCCGGAGAGTAGCTAGACGAAGGCAGAAGTGGCAATGCGCATAATGGAACAATGATGATGATGAAACATTGCGTCGCTGATGGTGGGCTATGCTACCTTTGATGAGGTTGGTGCATGCATGCGTGATGTGTGGTGTTGGCCGGTTAGACTCCACTTGTACCAACTTTTTTCCTCGAGCGTCGACCGGCGGCCCGCTCCTTCTGCGCAGAAGTCCGATGTCAGACATTGCGACGGCGCGTCACCAGCCACACCAGACCAAGGGACAACACCAGCGCTAAACCTTCTCACCGCATACATGGGTGCAAAACAATAAATCCTGAAACGCCCATGAGCCATGTCGGCTCCCAGCCGCTCTTGCTCAATCTTAATCTCCACGACAGAGGGACATGGAGATTGAAAGCAAGATTGCGGTTCTGGGCATCGAGGGTCCGATCCAAGATCGTGTTTTGGTGTTAATTCCGATGTGCCAGGTTAGCCGTGCTATTTCCAGCAGATGCCTTGGAAAGATGCCATGGCCTCCAAGCGATATGAGCATGCGACCGGGCAGTCTAGACCACGATTCTTGCTTGCAGTTGCTTGGAAAGACTAGCTCCCGCGGTACGGATGATAACATGGGTTTGCGAAAAGGTGGTGAGACGTTGAGACGAGAACCCATGTGGCCCGCGTGCCGTTGCCCTGTTTGCTGAGATTGCCTGACGGACTGATGTCAATATGGGTGGATGACCCACGCACGCGTGTTTGAGCTGTGGCGTCACCTCATCAGCGAGGCGAGAGAGCGGCTGGAGAAGAGGCAGCACGGGTTGGGTGGAGATTTGGAGCCGCTGTTGTTTGCAAGGATGCGGAAGAGAATTAGATGGGCCGCCACAGATGGCTACGTCACAGTTACGGACACGGACGACGCAGGCTGCACGACAGTTCTGGGAATCTTGCAACGGTGGAGCCATGCCGGATAAGAGCATCTGGGGTGATCAAATATGGGTGGATGATGGCTACAGGTGAGGAGAAGGAGGTGGGCGGGCAGGCGTGGTTGGCACGATAACGGTGGTCTGGCGTCGCACAACGTCGAGCAGCGGTAGTGTGGCCGCACCAAATCAGCAGCATGGGCTTATCGAAAGTCGGTCTACCTGCTTCAGGCGCTGCCATGGCAAAGTCATCGCGATCGTAAGAGGAGGGCATTGCGTTGCCCATGGGCCCAGCCACGCGCAGGCTGCGATCGCTACTGCATCAGGGACGGGCAGTGACGTCGGCGCTCTTTAAGGTTGTGGCGCGCGACCCACACCCGACGTCGACGTCGCAGGGCCAACCCTGTTTTGCGCGACTGCTTTCAGCGCGTCCGTCGCCCATCCTTGCCGCATCGGGCGGCTTGGTTGGCGCAAACCTGACTTTTCCCGCTGACGTTGCGAGCTTGGCTGTTTGCAGACGCAGCACAGTCACCTGCAGGAATGGAGTTTGAGTCGGGAAATTTCGTTACGCAGGCCAAAGATTGAGGTGAAGGATCTGGAGGACAAGGGGCACGGACGCTGCGTGACGTAGCCGTTGTGCAAGGGCGGTCGTTGTTCCGGCGCCTGGCTCGCGGCTGCTTATAAGTGAGAGGGCTCAAAGCCCTTTGTTGTGATACCACACTCTCCCCAAACCATACCATCTACCAAAGAACCTACGAACAGTCGCCTCTCTACCTCGAATCCTCCATCCACTACACCACCGAAACTTCCACCAGAACAACACCGCTATCATGGGTGCCGTAGTCTCTTGCATCAAGTCGGTCGTACGTACCCCTCACTTTCCTGCCTATACAAACTGTTCCTAACATTGTCTAGTTCCGCACCATCGGAAACTGCATCATGGCCATTGTCAACGCCATCGCTGCTGGTCTTAAGGCAATCATCAACGCCATCGTCTCCCTCTTCGGCATCATCATCAGCTGCCTCACCTGCGGACGCGGTGGCGGCCGAAAGAGGACAACGCATACTAGTAGAGTCTAGTGTGAACCCGTTTCCCACATGTCGCCGTACTGATCATTACTTCCCCTTGTGAAGGATGGCGCATGAGGAGATACGGGTACTACTAAGGCGCTATATCTACTACCCAATTACTACTACGACGACGAACTACGATCGCTCGACGGCCGTTACTTCTTCACTGCCAGGACCACATGACGATACGTTTACAACAACACATCGCCGACAACTCTTCGCAGAGGAACGGACGGAGCGCGATTGTCTCTTTTCGGACGAGAGAGTGTGGATGTTTATACCCTATACTATACACCCGGTATCGAGCAAGGAAGATGGATGCGGTAATGAACGAAACAGCAAGCATGGAGTTTGAGCGAACACTTTTTCCTTTTGTTTTGTACAGTCTGAGAGAGATGGATGCCAAAGGGTCGTGGAGAGGAAATCATTCTTGATCGATCACGGACCTGTCGCATAGATACCCCCAGCTTTCAATCAGACTTACTATAATACCCACACAACCGTCTTCTTCTGGTGACTGTTACTATTGCGACATTGTTGACGCGCTGACCCGTTACTCAAGGTAACAACAGGTTGCCCCCATCAACGTTACCCAAAGACGCTTTACTTGCCTACCACAGCGTACTGCACCACCGGCTCCCTAATTTACCCTTCGTCACCATGGTTGCCCTGTTGCATTTGCATTGTAGGACGTCGACAGCGCAGACGGTGGAAACAATAGCGTCTGCGCCACACATGCGTAGTGCATGCGCTTGCATGACGCCGTTGAAACGCTGTTGGCACGCTACAGGAACTTTCCTAAACTAAGACCACTTCAGCACTAAAGCTGAACGTCTGACTCTCTCATGTGGCAGTGGTGGTAGGAGGCTGCAGGTTAGACTCGAGCACATCAGTTTGCAATAACAACGGTGCTTGCCGCATCCTGGAATATTGTTCGCATTCAACAACAAAGCCGATTGTGTGATGTGTATGATGCAACTACAGGAGTTGGTAGAGTGTGCACGCGTTGTAGCATGTAGGTGTTCGGTAGGGCGACTGGAGTCATGGACAACTTGTCCTCATCGTGATATGTAGACAATAAGACTGATAACCCCAGTGAAGAATCCTGGGCGATTTCCTTGCACAACATTAGGACGACATCGTATCAATTGAAACCATCTCATCGATGCCTGTCATACTAACACCACACAGCCTACCCTCTCCCATCCCGTCATGTCTTTCCACGTTGAACCTACCCACCCCACCGCATAAACCCAAAGACAGCATTCAGCACAACCCCCATAACAACAGCAACCTGCCTCCTCCTCGTCCAAACCCCCTCCTCCCTAAAGCCCCATACCAGACTTCCCAACGGAAAAAAGAAGCCAGTCAGATACCCATACAGCATATCGTCCAACCCGCCTTCTTCGACCGCAAACCCCGCGCCCCAGCCCGCATCTGTGCCAGCACCACCAGCCCCCGCAGCGCCACCTGTAAGCGAAGCCGAGGGATCGTTGGCCGAAGAGTCCAGCCATCTGTCTTCCAAGACACGAATCTGTGCGGGCGTGGGCATAGTGTCAGGCGTATGCGTGAAGGACAGGTTCTGCGTAAACGTCGCCCTAAGAGAAGCGATTTCATCGCGGGTAAACCCCGAACTTAGCAACCTATCGAAGCCCTGAGCTTGCGGTACGGTATTCGCCGTATTCGTCGTAGCCGTCGAGCTACGTCTCCGTGCGTTGTGGTCTATAGTCGTACTGCTTGCGCGCCGTCCCGGTGTAGAATGGGAAGATGTACTATAATGCGACTTCAATGCTATCTCTGTGTTCTGGGCGAGTGTGGCTTCGCTGGCGAGTTCGGGGGCGGAGAGCGCGTCGCCGAGGGAACAGTGGATGTAGTATTTCTTTGCGGAGGGGGGTATGTCTGTTGTTGTGCCGTATTCGATCGCGGGCGTTTCTCGTAGGGGTTGTTTGCCTTTGCTCTTGCTGGCTTCGCCGGTACCGCTTCCCACTGCATCGCCATTTTTGGTGTTTCGAGGAGGCGGTGGGGGTGGTAATCGTAGGGATTTCGATAATGGCTCCGTGTCTGCGAGGACTTTGCCCGCGTAGATGAGGCGTAGGCGCGCCGAGGCATGTTCGGAGGGGAGGTGTTGGCGGATGAGCTGTTTGAGGGAGAGGGTCGCGATTGTTCGTGGGGTATTTATTGAGAGCGGGAGGTCCGGTACTGAGGCTGTGAAGCGTATGATGAGATAGATGAGTTGCTCGGGGAGAGCTGGCGCATTCGACATGGTGGATATGGAGGGCTGCGGCGGCTGCTTGGGGATTGAGGTGATCGTGGGCTATTGATTGGGGATATCGTATCTGTATGGGGTCATAACGGTCGTAGCCTCATCATTCGGAATGCTGTGGATGTCTGGTGGTGATCCTGCTGTTCGCGATGTTCGCGCTATCAATGCGACGCGGCAGCTCGCCCGGAGCTTAGCAGCGCTGAGGTCATTATATCCGAAGTGCATCCCCCCATGTTGACTGCCCCTCTTTAGCCATTCGCTACATCACCACTCCTCGCATCCTGATCAGTTGTTCGTACCGACTTGTTCTCAAGATGACGATCATTCACATTGTACTATTCGAGTGGAAGTCCACAGCTTCACCAGAACAGATCTCAGAAGTACCTCCATGTTGATCTAAACATACATCATTCATACTAATACATCATAGGCTTGCAGTCGTATGCTCGGCTTGAAAGACCAGTGCATTCATCCAACTTCCCAGAAGCCATACATCAAGTCCTTCTCAGGGGGCAAGAACAACAGCCCCGAAGGCCACAGTGTATGCAATGCGCCAAGCTACCTTACACCTGCTAACATGGACAGGGCAACTCAACCCATGGTTTCGTAGTCGAGTTCGAGAATGAAGAGGACCGCGACTACTACGTATACAAAGACCCTGCCCATCAGGAGTTCGTGAAGCTTGCTGGAGAGGTGGCGAATGGCGTGAAAGTCTTCGACTACGAGCCAGGGAAGATGTAAATATAGTGTCAATAACGAATGATGGATGCCACCGACACCCAATGGTTCGAGAGAATGTAGTCAGCTCGTGCAAGTGTTACGGTTTCCAGGAAACTACTGTTGCCGATCTTGCAATGGAAATATTTCGAGTCTGCATCGCATGTAGGTAGGAGAGCCAAGTAGCAATCGTGCTACCGGTGGTGGTAATGATATTCGAATTATGTCATATGTATGTGTAACGCCGAAGATGCAACGCCGGTAATGCTTCTATAAGGTATAGTGATTGAATCGTAAGGGTATCATGATACGCTGAAGGACTCGCCGCAACCGCACTGCTCCGCTAGAAGATGTTAGTCTTGGTCTCTCGTAGTACATTGTGTCGGTACTTACTGATGTTGGGGTTCTTGAAGATGAAACGCTCGTTCAGCTTGTCTTCCAGCCAGTCCATCTCGCTTCCAATAATGTTCAACAGGGCCTTGTTGTCGATCAGGACCTTGACGCCATCCTGCTCGACCTGCTCATCCAGGGGGCTTGGCTTGTCCACGTACTCCAAGTGATATGCCAGCCCTGAGCAGCCCTTTGCTTTTGTGCCAATCCGGATAAGCTTAGGCTCTGGTAGCTCAAGGAGTTCGCGGAGGTGTGATACTGCCGACTGTGATAGCTTGATGGTCGCCTTCCGTGGCCCGAAGTTGTAGCGACGCGGCCGTAACGGCTTGCTGGCACCCGCTGCCTGCTGTGGCTTCTGCGCTTCTCCTTCAGGTATGCTCACGTTCGGTTGCTCGGATGGTGTGGCTGGGATGTGCTCTTGCGGCGGTAGTTGTGGGGTCTTCGCATTGTTTGCCTCGGCTGCTCCACCAGCTATCGATGTGTCAGGTACGCCAGCATTCCTTGGTGGCGGCTGAGGGTATAGCGAAGAAGGGTGGTACGCAGTCGCCGTCTGCATCTGGCGCTTAGCTGACTGCCGATACGGTATCGACGAGGCGAAAGTGCGCGCGCATTGCGGGCATCTGCGGGGAGTAGCCGAGGGGGCGGCGAATCGTAGGAATGTCGAGCTGGAGCGCGCAAAGGCAGTTGTGGTTCGAGGCAGCGACATGATCAAAGGGCGAGATGTCCAAGGAGTGCTGCAAGTGGACTTGGTAAGGCGCGCGTGTTGAGTGAATAGATGACAAGGTACGGCTGGTGCATTGTCACCAAATTCGCCGAAGCCTATGTCATCCGCGGCGAATTCCGGGGCAATTTGACACGATTATAAAGCACGTGTTGATTGGCTGCCAATCTCCCGAAGCTTCGGAACTTCGGAATCTAAAGTCACACCATCATAAGCCCACCTCGAGAGTTCGCCTGGGCACCTTGTCTTCGAACAAGCCGCCGCAATGTAACCTTCCATTGTAATCCCTTCTACTATGTATGATCGTCCCAGAATTTCTCAACACTGGCGGCATGGCAGCCTCGCCAGTTTGCAGAACTATTCGGCACCCACAGCATAGCTTGGAAACCATCTACTCCGAGAACATTACACCTGGGTATCTGCGATTGCTCATCTCTGAGAGTGTCTAGTCTCATAGCTTATTGACGTTGCGCAATATGTAAGTGGCTCGTTCCGCTCTGCGTGATCGCAGTCAAGTCAATGGTAATCCTATTCCATGGTTTGGTGCTGCTTCGCCCGCGAACAACATAGGCCAACCACGGATCATAGCAACAAACCGATAACTGTGGTATCGAGCATTTCCAATGGGTCAGCCACATGAATGCAACAGCAAAATTTCAATGAGTATAAAACAGCGTCCTCGTCCTCATCGCCGCCTTCAACACCAGCGATACTGCACACAAGAAACAACGCCGCCCGAAGGACGAGTCTACCCTCTAAGCCCACAAATGGCCGCATCCACCATGAAAAATACAGATAAGTCTCTGTTGATGGCCTTACCAACCGAACTGCGCTGTTACATCTACGACTACTTCCCCGAGCGTGTTTTCAAACACGTGTTCCCCACGCCAGGTATCGGCACCTGGGCAGAACTTCGAATGCCGACCGCCCTACTTCAAGTGAACAAGACGATTCTCGTCGAGGCTCAACAACACTTGAGGACGAGGAATATGCAGAAGTCCCCTAAAGTTACAATCGGCCCAGTACCTAGGTCTGCCGCAAGGGAGGCTATGTTCACCTTAATATCAGACATCTTCCACGAGGCTAGGAGACAACGCAGTACATTGTTAGCCCAACCCCAGAAACCGGGGGACGATAACGGAACCAAACTCATCAGTCTCGTCCTCGCATCCTGGTACAACGAAATCATCCTGCCGCTACTCCTTCAGAACCCTAGCCTGGGCGATGATAGTAAGGTCTACAATCAAAGAGAGTGCACAGCCGAGGAACTGTATCCATTCGTGGGGCACACTTTGAGAAGAATGGAACGGAAAAGGACCTGCGAAATCAGCATACGTGTGTTGTTTCCCGACGACGAAGATGATGGCGACTTCGTGGGTTATATGATGTATGAATGGGAGATTGTGAAGGACATGACACGACTAGCGCTAAGCACCCGACCGGGGCCCCCACTGAAGGTTATACCTCTGCGTCGCCGTCACAGACATGAACTCAAGCGAGAAATGAAGATGTACTGGCAGATGGATTTTGAAATTCGAAAGATGGCTTCGAGCATTAAAATTGGAAAGCCAACGGCCCAGGATCTGATACTCTTCAGGATACCCAATCTGCAGACAGTCGAAGCCACTGACGAGCAACTGGTCTTCTCGCCGATAGCCAGTTGAATCGAGCTCAGTCGGTAACGAGAGAGCGGAGACCCAACTCGAAGATATACTCTAAATTACTCAAGTTCAATCAGAATCTCGAATCACAAGTCACCTTCACACATCTCGTACAAGCTCGATCACTCAGTAAGTCTTACTAGGAGCAGGTACACTTTGTGTCGCATTGGAAACAAATATTATTAAGCAAACTATATAGCTAGACGCCTACATTACCTTAGGAACTGCTCACTTCTTAACATTTGAGAGTATGTATGCAGCAAGATATCACATACCTTTTAGTTACCTTGCTTGCTTGCTTGCTTGGCCTATATAAGGTCTCTTTAGTACCACGTGTCCTGAAAAGAAACCACGTGAAATAATTTACGCGTTGTTGACCTTTGCTCCTGACAGCGAACGAGACCTTGGGATGCGACGGACTTTCTCATCGTCTTCGCCAGGCAGCGGCGCAGGGACCTCAATCAACACGCAACATCGCCAACATCACCATTCTACGGCCAGTGACCAAGTTCAGCGCCTGAAGGATCGTTGTCATTTACGAGACTTCCAACAAGATCAAAATACATCATTGGAGGTTTGCCTATAACATGCCGTCTTTGGAGCCAGCGAACGTTCCGGCCTTGGTTGAATCGTCGACAGTCTAGCTTGCACCTGCGACGGTACAGATGGTTAACAAACAACAGTCTTCGGGATCGCAGGTCCCACTTTCTAGCCGCTGGACAATTTGGAAGTCATCATGCTGACTCTCAGGGTTGCGATCCACGGTCGGATCATGATCAATGCACCGAGAGTCACGGATGGAATATCACACAATTCCTTGCGCATATAGTTCACAAGCAATTTCGAACAGGTTGATGTATCTAGACTATTGATCTATACAAGTAGTTCTGAGTCCCCGTTCTGAAATTACTTGTAGCAGAAGTATACGTTATCTTCGGGGGTGTTTACTTGTTGACATTTAACAGTATGTATGCGGCAAGTGCGGTTTACATTCTAGCTACCTGTCATGTATGCCGGGCTAGAAAACAACTAAACACAAACCTGCTAGGAGTCTACATTGCCCTAGAGTCTCACACAAATTTCATTATTATACTAACGTAGGTGGTAGAGCTTCTGTTGAGTTTATTCCTTGTGAAAGGTGGTTCGGCACCGGACGGGCTTCGCAACGCGATTCGACACGCGACATCGAATGTGCAAAGGATATTTTCGTGCAAGTTTGACGCTAAACTCTTGTTTATTAAGTCCGTGGTTTTGATAGTACCTAGGTATACTACCGGGGTATCGCACGAAGTCGTCGCAGCTAGCCTAGCAGACTGCCATATCACAAACTGGTAAGTAGATCATTTGCCAGAAACAGACTATGCAAGCTTCCATCCACTACCTTCGACATCATAAACGACTCCGGAAGAGACATAGGGCCCAGCCAAGGTCTCAAGGGAAGGAGAAGTAGACACCACCAGCATCGACCATGAACACGTTCGAAACCAAGGCCGTTGACTCATGTTCGAACGCGACTTCACAGCTGCGCGTGGATACAGAACACAAATGTTTGCGAGCGGATTGACGTATCAAGACTGATGATATCTTAAAGGCGCGCTGAGTTCGCGAATATGGTGACCGTGAATATTGAAGAGTGTTCCATAGCCGTGGAAACGTCTGCTTGTTGCAAGCTGCGTAAGCCGCTGCTTTTGACTTTTGCTGCCGATCGAGGTAACTACCATCCGTGTCGCATGCATTCTACAAACATATTATTGACTATACGGTTAAGCTAGACGTCTACATTGATTAGAGACTACCGTTTCATCAGGATTTGGTAGTATGTATTCAGCAGCACATCCGTGTCGCATGCATTCTACAAACATATTATCGACAATACGGTTAAGCTGGACGTCTACGTTGACATCGAGACTACCTGTTTGTTAAGATTTGGTGACATGTATTCAGCAACATGCGACATAGATCTACTTGCTGCTGCTATTAGCTCACGAGTTCGTGATCTACCGAATGGAATAGAGTCGAAACAAAGGCTTGAGTGAGTATAGAGCGGCTTCGTATTTCTCTCATGAAAGACTACTGTACGGCCCGTTCAACCCTCAAAAGCTCCGCACCCGGACGAGAGGGACAACTGAGTCAGTATGAATCCAACGTGACCGCAGTAACTCAACCACATCTTCGTGCCCCTTCTTTAACGCAAGCATCATGGCTGTGTCCCCAAATTTGGTTGTCGCTGAGATATCAATCTTGTCACTAGTGAGCAACACTTCGACAACGTCTTCGAGCCCCTTCACTGCCGCGAGCATCAGTGCCGACTGTCCATGCTCGGTCTTCATGTTGACGTCGACCCTATCAACGCCAATCAGTAGCTTGACTATGCTCGTGAAGCCTGCCGTTACTGCTTCCATTAGGGGCGTCCACTCTCCAGTGGGTACTCCGTTGACTTCAGTCCTCTCGTCGTCGAGCAGTAGCTCAACGATGTCCGAGTTTCCTTTCTTCACGGCCATCATTAAAGCTGTACACCCGGTCTTGTCTTGCGCGTTGACTCTGAGCTTGTCAGAGCTCAGAAGCATCTTCACGATTTCCTTTTCTCCTTTTCTCACCGCTTGGATAAGTGGCGTTGGTTGCGCTCCGGTTGCGGCTCCATGATTGACGTCGACGCCAACCTTGACTAGCGCATCGACAGTGTCTTTGTCTCGATACTCTATCGCCCACATTAGTGGTGTGGGTATAGAGTACTGCGTCTTCATGTCCCCAGTGCTATTCTGAAACAGCAGTTCAAGCACTTTCATGTTCCCATGCTTGGCAGCCCAACGGCAATGCATCCCAAAGCTCGCATCCAGCTCTTCCAATTCTGCGTTTCGAGATTGAATCAAGCTAGCGCATAGCTGTCCAATGTGGCGGTTGTCTCTCGAAACATACCATATGTGATGCTGCCAATGTGTTTGCGCATAACCATAGAACATGAATTCGTGCTCTGGGTTCGAGTTCATTGAACCACGCAACTCTGCAAGGGTCTTGCCAAGATCGAACTTAGGTTGCTTTCTAGACCCGAGAAGCTTCTTGGCAAGCTGTCGAGTAGTGCTGGTAGCACCCATAGTGCTTTGTAGGATGCTAGCCGGCGCTGAGCTTGCCATCATGGGACTGAGCTTAGTTTTCGATATCCGTGTTTCGAAATGGCTGTACCCAAGATACGTAACAATAATGTCTGCTAACGTTCTTTGGGCGTCTTCTAAGGAGAAACCTATGTGTCTCACGTCGTCAAGACCGTGGATGATGTACTGCTTGACACTGTGATGTATCACTCGGACGGTTGATTCTTCCTCATCAACAGTAAGAAGACATCCACAGCAGGTTAATGCTGATTGAACATCGTTTAACATCTTAGATGGGTCCCAAACTGCATGTCCTGGATCAACGCTTAAGGCTTCTCTCAACTCATTGGTCGTCAGGGGTCGGTGAGCTGCCAAAACGATCTCCAGAGTCTTTGCCTGAAGGGACGGATCTGAAATTCCTGACTTGTGCAAGATGCGGGCAAACGTTTGGGCCAGGTCTTTCGGCAGGTCTCCCAAGGCTTCGCGGATAGTATGATCTGTCTTCATACTGCATAAAGACTGGATCTGAAGAGCTGCCCAGAGGAACATCCCTTGGGAGCCCTGCAGTAGCGCGTCTTGAATGTCCAATATTAGGGCAGAATCTCCAATGTTCAAAAGATCCTGGTCCAGACAACGACAAAGTTCTGCTTCGATGAAGCTCTCGATATCCGGGTTGCTATCCGGTATTGAAACGATACGAGCATCCAAGAGGCGACGTGTAATCGAGTGCGGACCTAAAGTCGAGTTTACTAGGTCAGTAGTCTTCTCGCATACAGCTCGTTCAGGGACATCACTGACCTCTTCTTGGCTCTACCCGAAAAGAGGCACAAACAAAGACCTTTAGCTTTGCTTGGATATTCCTGATTGCTTGTGCCAGCGTTGCTGTTTCCTCGTCAGGGCATTCATCTAGTCCATCTATGACGAAAAAGGTTTTGTGACCCGGAGGATAGCTCCGAATGATAATTTCCAGTAATTTATCAACGTTTCCGGTAGCGTGCTCATACTCGCATACTTCTGAAAGTGTGCCGAATTCAGAAATGCTCCGCAGCATTTGCCGCGCCAGCGAACCAAGAATGGTGCGTGCTTGCAGACTTTCAGGTAGATCGTGCCTGCAGAAGAAGTATGCTACCAAGCATCGATCCATTTCCGTAGAGAGGCTGAGATCGTCCACGATGTTGGCTAGCAATACAGATTTTCCAGATCCTAGCTTACCAGTAAGTACTAGGGTGCAAGGATGCGAGTGATCCCTCCACTCTTTGTACTCGTGGAACTGTGTATAGAGCGATGTATTTCCGACCTTTCTTATCTGCTTCCATGTCGTTTCGTGGTCATACATGGAACAGAAGTCGAGAACTCGCTTCTTCGCAGCAAGTTTCTGTTGGTAAGATGCGGAATTGAACATTGATCGAGATAAAGCTCTGAAGCTAGAGCTTTCTTGAGCTTCACCCACATGCATCTCTTTCTCAATCGCATGTGCCCATTTTCCGAGATCAGACTGAAACGCTTTCACATGTCCATCACTCAAGGACGACGTGAATTGCTGGAGCGTTGACTTCTGCCCGAACCTGAACAGATAACGACATAAACCAACTACCACGATGAAGTACTCCAGGGTATAGGCCTGCAACCTTGTCGAGAGCGGATAGATTACAGCAATCTCTTGATGGCGTGGACAAGAACGACCAATGTCCATGAAGATTGATGATAGTGTTTCTACGTGGTTCGATACGCTCACAAGCGACTGCATACTGTCAGTGAATGATGTGGATGCGATGATAACAGTGGTTACGGACCAGCAACGACATGCGCACCAAAGACCACACACCACATGCTATCAGATTTTGCGAGCCTCCAACCATGATATCCCCAAGTGCAGCAAATTGCTGAACAGCTTGGAGAAAGTTGGTGAAGCGCGGCCCAAGGCATCGACTGCTGAACTTATTCGATATGCGATGGTCCACTTCAGCCGTCAGTCGCATGACATCGCTCGGCGTGGGTGTCGCCAAAAGCGTCTGCGACTTCAGAGTGCGAAACGCGGACTTCTGTTCGCTTGACAGGTCGGCTTCGAATTCGGAAACTGCTTGAGCGAGGCGGATTTCGGGACTAAGCGATCCAGGTCTAGCCAGAGCTTTAGACATAGCCGTTGGCACAAAGCTACAAAACAGAAGGTCTTGAGGCAGAGCTCAGACCGTACGGTAAGGTTGCTGCAGAACTCAAGCGTGATCAAGAGATAAATATCACAGTAATGTGAACAGGGGTGTGGTTGGGGTCGCAATGTAGCTCAAACCGGAGTCATACAGTTGGAGGATCAGGAAGATATAGAGTGGCGTCTAATGTGAGTGAGGACGTGAAGAATGAAAAGACGAAAGGAGGCTACCATGTCAGCACGCAGCTTGTAAAGCTGCCTAGATGCTGCGCACCAGGCTGAGTATGGCTGCGCATCTCAGCCGCGCCCTCGGCAGCCACTCCCTATTGGAGAGATTGGCCCCCATTGATAATGCAAAGCTGCGAACGAGAACGATGCGATCCAGAACAGATGGGATGAGACGAAGATGCAACATTTGGGCAAACAATCGGAGTCGTCCGGTCTTCCAATCCACCAAACTAGCCAGAAAGGGTGACGTCATAGGCACTATCGCACATTGACAAGCACGTGGTTCGGCATAAGTCGACATCGGCAGGAGCCCCAAACCGCAGCCGGCACAGATCGCAGTATCAAATACAGCGCTGAATATTCCCGGAAGATAAGATGCGACGAAAGCAGATGCAACACCAGAGCGACAAGAGCGTGTGCTGAAATTAAAGGTATATTCCGCATGCTATAAGCCGCTCTTCACTGTTTCCTAGAATATGATGTGTATATCCACCGCACACGTGTGTTCCTCAACCACTCTATTTGTTCAACTCCTCAGCCCTCTTCTTGAGGTCCTCCTTGCTCTCCGCCTTGGGCATGTTGTCCGGAATGGCTGGGCCCTATAACTACATTAGCTTCCGTTCCGACCCAGATGTATAACAACGGCACGCGAATAGCATACCTTGGAATTGTGAGCTGAAGCGTGTAGGTTTCCCCCCTCGGCGTGGTTGTCGTGCGAGGATGCGGTTGAGTCGGAGGACTCCTTTGCGATCTTGTCGGTGAGGCCTGTGGAGACGACGCGTCAGTTATGGCTTGATCAGGCTGGGTGGTGTGGTGAGTGGAAAGAGAAGGTTGTTACGTACTGCCAGCGGCGCCTTGCTCAATTGGGTGGTCCGGCATGTTTGTTTAGGTTGATGTGGTGACTGGTTGCTTCTGTCGTCGAGGTTTCGGTCCGCCGATATAAAGGAACCCTTTGACGTAGGCGTCTACTTTGTCTTCAAGGGACTGTTCTTTCACGTCGAGGTTCTTGACGTCCTGTTCGAGTGCGGCTGTCTCGTTGACTTTGTTGTCGGGCAGGTCGCGGAGGTTAGGAAGTTTCTTGTAAAGGGCTTGTATCTCCTCAGAGTAGGCTTGCAGTTCGGCGATAGAGGGGGTTGAAGACATGGCTGGTTATGTAGGGCTAGGCGTTGTAGCAAGCGAGTAGTGCGTGATCGGTGACGTAGATGAGTGTGGCAGGCCCGCGGCTGGAAGCTGGCTGGAAGGGGAAGCTGCCGCTGGGTGGTGGGGGAGGGGCAGCCCTTGGCACCTGGGAACCTTGGTTCTGTGGACGCGGCCAGCACCGTCCAAGACTACTGTGGAGAGGTCGGTGGGTAAGCAAGATATCTTGCATGTGTATCATGGAGCCTGTGTCGGTGGCTTCTCCGTGGCAGATACTCGAGGTGGTTGGGTCACGTGTTCGTCTGTCAAGCCTGCGTGTATTTCCTTCAAGAAGGATATTGCTGCACACGCAGAGATGGTAAGCGACGCGTAACTGGGTTGGACGTTAATGTAGGCTTCATGTCATACGATGCGCCGCCGGCGTACCTGACCATAAGCCAAATGAGACTGGAAGAGGTATGTTCTTTGAAGGCCTTGGAATTGAACTGCACCCCAACTGTATTGACGCTCAGCATGTCTTCGCACCACACCTACCGAGGGATACTGAACCTACTGTAGAACATCTGCTTTGTCGCCTGTACGACAAAAGTGAGGAGACCATATAGAGCTATCTGTGGAGCGAACCGGCCAATGACGCGCCTGCCTTCCAATGTCGAACGCAGTGCGCCCGGCCGAGCAAGTTGGCACAAGTAGGCTAGGTGAAGGCTCACCTCGAAGCAGGTGATGCTGATCTTAGTCAATAAGACAGTGTCGCCTTGTATGCATGCTTGCGCCCCGTATAAGTTATCAAGAACAGCCCATTGTTCCATGGGCGTGAAGAAAGGCGCATGCCATTTGCCACCAGGCAAGCTGTGAGGGCGCAGGCAGACGTAGAGCATATCATACCACCCGCTCAACAAACTCACGAGACACCAGACAGCTATCCAGGATCGGGGTTTGTGAGTGAACGGCATCATTGACGCGAAATGGATGAAACGACATGACACCTGAGGAGACGACGTGCTCTACATATTTCAATGTCGGATATCGGATGGAGGTGCGCGCGCCCTCTGCCGTTCTTGCCGGATGGTAGCTATGAACGCGTAGTACACGAGCTTTGGAGAAGACGATCGTGCCATGTAGCCGGAATGGCATGCGACGAGGTCGGGGTTGTTGACGTTCGGCGCTCTCTTGTTGATGGCATGCCGCGAGGCGTCACCAGCATTGCGTACTCTCTGCCCGCTGTCAACTCCACTCCGCGCCATATCATCACCAACCATGGAAAAGCTACTGCGCGCGATCGAAAAGCGACGACACAATCTTGCACTCGGGTCTAAATACGATAGCGCGACGATAGGCTTTGCGGGGAAAGAGGGCATGTTGGTGCGAAACGCGGATTAGCGGCTAACTCAGCCACGGCGACCGCGTCGGCATGGGTGCTTGGCCATGTCCCGCCCCTTCCAAGCTTCACGGCCGTTTCGCCTTTGGCACCCAGCGTCATTCCAGGGGACGTCAAAGCAAGCGATGCACCACCACATGACCCGGACACTCACGCCTCGCCTTATACTTCCTCCTTGATGCCGTGAACTCCTGTAGCGACATGAGGCACGTCCTGTCCCGTCGATCGTTATATCCCCATCCATAGCCATATACCCCGGCCGGCCTCTGCACCGCGAACGACTCCCTTAAACCCGCTGGACGGAAGACTTGTACACTCGATATCGCCATGCCGTCGCTACTCGTCCACTCGCTGTTTGCGCGCCAGAATCCGCTGGATGAGGCCAAGAACACGCTCAGTTCATGGGACAACTGCATGGCCAAGGCCTACTGCAAGTGCGTTGAACCGCCAGGCCTCAGGCTGCTTCCCCTTTGCTCACAGACAACAGATGGCCGGTTATCGTCGTAATCATCATTGGCGCCCTCATCGTCATATCCGTGGTTACCTGCATAGCACGATGCATATGCTGCGGCGCCGAGTGCGCCTGCTGCTGCTTTAGATGCTGTACGTGCTGCTGCAGCGGCAGTGGTGGAAGAGGCCATAAGCGCGTCAAGAGCGATCCCGCTGCGCCGTATCCCACGCCATATGGAGCGCCTCCTCCTCCCATGAACCCCTACGCTCAGGCGCATGCCGCTGCGCCGCCTCCTCCGCCAATCGACCACCGCCCGGTCAATCAGCAGTATCGCTCCAACGCCATGCCCACCTTCGCGCCAGCCGCGCAGCCCGAGAGACCGCAGTTCGCGACTTTCGATTCGACAAGAGCCGTCGTCAACGAAGACTCCCTGCCCGCAATGCCTACATGGAAAGACGGGCGCGACGTCCATGTTCAAGTCGAGGAACAGCCTGCGCCTCAGAAGCAAGGCGACATGGAAATGGACAGGCTAGACCGCAACGGCAGTCCAATAAGCGGATCGATGGCAGGCGTAGCAGCGGCAGCCGTGCCAGCATCAAGACGGTCGCCTGGCCCGGGCCGGTCCCCGGTATCGCCAATGGACAACTACGGTCAGGGCTACCCTCAAAGCGGATACCAAACCGATTCTTTCGTCAGCGAAGGAGCCCCGTTGGACGGCCAGGGTGCATACGGCCGACCATACGCGCAGCAGGACGACTATCGCAGAGGTTCGCCAGGGCACAACCTATCACCAGTCTACAGCGCAAACGAAGGATACGCGCCACAGCAGCAGCAGCAGCAGCAGCAGCAACAACCCTACGGCCGCCGCTCGCCAGGCGCTCCCCAAGCCTACGACTCCCACGACCAGCTCAGTCAATACAACCAGCAACCTTCTTACAACCAACAAGCTCCCTACAACCAACAACCTACCTACAATCAACCACAAACCTACGACCAACGCGACTACTACGACGAACCCGACCATCGCCACCAGTCCCCCTCCCCACCCGCCGCAAACCCCTACGCCTACAACACCGACCCCTCCGCGTCGTACGATACCTACACGCCCCCGCCAGCACCAGCAGCTTTACAGCCCGGCTACGCAGCTTCCGAGTCAACAAACCATGGCTCCTTCACAAATGCGGCGCCAGCATACCCAGGGCAGAGGTCGTATACGCCCGTGGCTGGAAGCGTGGGACAGCAGCAGCAGCCATATCGCGCTTTCACACCGGGCGCGGAACAGCAACAACTACCACAGCAGCAGTATACTGGAGTTAGTAGAAAACCTGTTGAGGGGTCTTTTAGGGAAATATAGAAATAGCATGTATGTTTTCGTATGTAGGGAGAATGTGATACCCATACAAACAACCCCTTTTAGCGAATTATCACTATCGTTCATTGCGGATGAACTGTTGGCGCGGCCATGCGGGTCTAATTTTACAACAGTCGCGGGGCCGAATGGGCACATAGGCAGACTGGGCGTTCACTAGTGTCCCTCAGCCTTCCTTGCTTAAGTTCATCGCAACAGATATTACTTGACTGCCTTCAGCCTCTACAAACCTCCTGACGATTTGTTCGTTGCACGACCGTCCATTCATTGTCCAGACGCATTCTACCGGCAAAGCTGCCACCTCACTTCTACGCTATCTCGAGGTCTTGCGCTACCTATTTCCCAGCTTTGCGAGCTCAGTATACCACCAGCAATGGCAGATGCGGTCTTGCGTGCAAAGCAAGCCGAACATGATCCATCAAACAAGCAGGCTGTGTACGAAAGACATGCTCTTCGCCCACATACGGTTAGGGTTCTAAACCCCAATCCCCAGCCTTGGCCTGCCTTACCAGCCTGAACAAGCAATGTTTGGTCGCTCTACCCGATGCAGGGCTCGGTCGAACCATCGTCAAACACGATGTGCTCTTATGAGCGAAACCTTTGTATCTCTCTTTGCCGAAACCAAATTGCGCAGAATTCTGGCGGTGAAGCGATAGCGCCCAGTCGGCATCTGAGGGGAGCCATTGCTACGAGGCCTCCGAGCTCGCCTCAGATTGGTCCTTTCAGTTTGAAAACAAAAGATGGTGGGGAAGAAGAACTGATGTTGTTTTGATAGTATCCACAGGCCTGCTGCTTTCTCACCGCCTGATAACGTCGTCTCCACTAATGGGATGAGCTGCAAGTGTGCTGACATTCATCTATTCTGGAAAAAAGCAATGTAGGATGCGGGAACGCGGTCGCAGCCGCGTTTGTCCAGATCGCTCCTGAGACGGATCCCTACATCCCTAGCTGTAACCTTACCGCGTGTGGGCACGCGAGCTGGAGTTGACGTCGATACTCACTCGCAACACATATACTGCCAACCCCCCATGCACCTCGTTCTTGAATCGGAATAATGCACCGCCAAATGCCCCTCTTTTTGGTCATTATCTATTGAAGGAGCTATTGATCCGTCATACTGTGTGCGAGAGACTGCATCAGGTCATTCCTTCGATCGCGCAACTGGCCCCACGTCTCTCGTTCAAACTCGTACCCTCCCTTGTGGCTAGTTTGGTATCGCATCGTCTACTACCATGCCTCATATTGTTGATCAGAAATCTGCCGAGGCAGGCCCACTTACCCCAAGGAAGCTTGTTCTCTGTTTCGATGGCACTGGCAACGTGTTCAACGGCAATACTTCAGACACTAACATCGTTAAATTGTACGACAAGTTTGACAGGAAAGAACCTACACAGTACCACTACTATCAAAGTAAGCAACTTGCTAGCCATTGTCCTATGTGGCATAAAGCTAACATTTAACTGTACAGCTGGCATTGGCACATACCACACTAACGGAGGCCCTATTAATAGGGGCTTTTTTGGCAACATCAAGTCAAACATCTCCAAGTCGATAGACAGTGGCTTTGCTACGACCTTCGATGCCCATGTAATTGCGGGCTACCGCTTTGTTATGCGCTACTACCGGGAAGGGGACAAGATCTATATTTTCGGCTTCTCCAGAGGCGCCTTTACCGCTCGCTTTCTTGCACGCATGATATACAGAGTTGGCCTACTCTCGGAGGGCAATGAGGAGATGATCCCTTTTGCTTACGATTTGTACCATCAGTATGTGAAGGGAAAGATCAATGCACCCGAGCACGAGGGAAAAGACTCTCCACCCACTACAGGCACCGAGACCGATCCCCTCCTTCACCACGACGCGTGCGCGGCCGAATGCTCGGAACCCGATCAGCAACAGATCAACAAGAACAAGCTCAATGCCTTTAAGACAACCTTCTGCCGTTCAGAGGGCGACGGTGACCAGGGCATCAAGGTACACTTTCTGGGCATGTTTGACTGCGTGAGCAGCGTCTCAGTCCTTGACAGTCCCTTTGGCGTAACACCAAAACCTGTCTCCATTCTCGGTACCGCCCATCACGTTCGCCATGCTGTCGCCGTTGACGAGCGTCGTGTCAAGTTCAAAGCGGCTCTGCTCCACCAAGACAACAACCACCCTCTTAAGAAAGAAGAAGACATTAAGGAAGTCTGGTTCCCTGGCAACCACGGCGACGTTGGTGGAGGATGGCCAGCTCCGCCAGCTCTGACAGCCCCCATGGCCAAGCACGAGAGAAGCTGGTGGCGCAGAATTTTCACAAGCTCAAAGGAAGAAGAAGCCTCAAACTCAGGCACAGACCCTTATCAGATGAGCGATGTGCCTCTTGCTTGGATGATCCGTGAACTGGAGCTGATAGGCGAGAAGGACCCGGCGTCGGCGCTCAAATGGAATACAAGGAAGGATGGGTTCAAAAGGCACTTCTTCATGAAGCGCGACCAAGCTTACAATAGCCCAAGCCATGACACCCTCAAGATCTCAGGTGGCTCCTCGCTCTTCAAAGTTATGTTGTGGAATTTCATGGGTGAGTCTCACGTGCATACCTACCCCCCAAGACACCATGTCACTAACAGATCCAAACAGAATGGCTACCGATCCGACGCTGGGAATTGCTCAAAAAGAGGGGTGGCCCAGGGTACGAGTGGGCATACATCACATGGCCGTTCAACCGGGGAGCGTCACGTGATATCCCTGAAGGAGCACTTCTACATGACTCTCTCCTGAAGAGATTGACGGGCATGAAGTATCCAGACTATTGCCCGTCTAACAATCGAGGCGATGGTTCGGCTGCTTGTTTGGTGCCGGACAAGTTTTCTCTCGAGCAGGAAGACGAGGGAACGGACAAATCAGCTGCTGGCGTTGATGAACCTCGGGGCATTCACAACATCTACACGCTCGAAGGCGAGGGGTCGCGTCGTGGGGAAGATCGCGGGGGTATGCGGAAGAGAGTGTTTTAGTATATAGACTTTTTGTCCCAGGGCGCCAAGATGTATAACTTATTCGACTCTACCCTCAATGGAATTCCCAGCCAATAGGCACCATCGAAGCGCGATACCTCTGGCTAACGCCTTACCTTATCAAAATCCCTCGGCTATTCCCGTCCTACTCAAGTCCCCTCCCCAATAATCTCGCCTTCTACTGCTGTAAGCACCAATAAGTTGAGGCACACGGTAAGCCCGAGTACACGTCGCTGCTATCGTGCTCTGATCGAGTCTCTGCGCTGAAAACTCCAGATGGTAACGAGAGCCGCGCCTTTGATAGGAAGGATACATCCTGTCATTACACACTACTCTTTTCTTCCCTCCTTTCTTTCCGCCCCTGGGCTAGCTATAGATCTACTCATGTTCTATCCTAAATACTACGTACTTGTAAGCCTAGGACCACATCACATGGCTGCTCTGCAGGTATAACCAATGCGTTCGTCTACTCAAGAGCTTAGATCACATACTTGTAAATACACACAACAATACACTTATACATTAGACGATATCTTACTATGTCGCACTGTTAGGTGCCGGTAGTGTAAACGAAAAAACTAAGAGAGAGTGTGTATTGTATTGTTCGTAGCCTCCTAGCTAAGCTTATATAAAGGTCATCGCACGGCGTTACTAGTAACAACGTTTTCAACAGCGCTTGGCCTGCAACATTGTTATAGTCTGGTCCTATCACCTCGAAAGGATCTTTCGATTAGACTCGCACTACTCGTAGGGCAATCGATGGGCTGTTACGATTACAGAGGAGGGAGTGAACACACGCTGGGTTTTGTGGGCGACAAATAGCCGTGTCAGGTATGACAGCACCTAACCCACGAGAAGAAAGGGCTTACTAAGGAACACGTGATCGGCTCTGCAGTCCTAGGCATATCCCGTGCAAAAGCTGTCAGAACGCAGCCCTGCACGATTACGCTAGGCGGCCAAAGAGATACGTAAAATCAGTACACTACTGATTATGGTGCAGGATAGTATAAAATATCGTCAGCCAGGCCTGACGACTATGATAGGCGAAAACCAGCATCTGATCCGCGTTGCATACGCGTGTTTTTGGATCAGGTGCGTAATTGTCTAACTGCGATGAATTGGGGGTCAAATTCACGTAGCATCATACACTAGGCTAGGGAAGCGGGAAGTCCTGAAAGCCACATTGCGTCGTGTGGGGTCGCGCGTGGCCGGCACATTTGTAGGGGACAGTAACGGCGTCACAGGTTCTACACGATCGCGGATTGTCAGCGCCTTCGGCCACAGACTGCCGTGTGTGTCTTCTTGTTTGTGCTCTTTGTTGAGACTTGCTCTCATCATCATTTTCCATCTTCGGTAAGATCACCAGTTCTGCCTACATCAAGAGCGGAAAAAGAAACGGCGCTCTACGTACACACGTTATCTCTCTCTTCAATCCTACTCGAGGGTGGGTGGATTGAATGCATAACATATGTAGATCAAGCCCAAAAAACAAAACATTGTTCATGGCTGAGGAAAAAGAAAACGCTCGATTGAGCTCGTACGGTACGGCCCGGTAGCGGGCACTAATAAGTGGCTTGTCTGCTGAGTTCGGCTCACGACGACAATTCTATAGCCACAATACCAGGGCTGCGAGTGTGTATTTGATACTGCGCAATGGCTTATGGTTGGCTAGTGATTTGGGTTCTACAATCCGCGTTCGCTGCAGGCAACTGTCGAGAGCTGTAATTCACCGCTACATTGTTTCTCTTTTCGCGCAATGCAAGCCTACGGTATGCAGTATGCAGCTAAACGATGCAGCAGTCGAGGTAGTCATATCATTTCCGTATGCGGAATATGGGCATTCCCGACAACATGGACGTAGTTCGTACTATCTGCAGCTTCAACTATAAGATAGGACCCTCAAGACTCGATTATCTTCCCAAAGTCACAGCACACCTTAAGCTCCTTCCTTAACACAAACCTTCTATCAAGTCTTTTGAGAACAAGATCACTTCGTCAAAATGTCTACACAAAACACCATCATCGAGCAGACCGGAGGCGAGATCCGAGCAGAAGAGCAGGTAGCCCGCCTCACGAAGCTACCTGCACCACATCAAACCTATGATGCTCTTGACAGCGGCATCGTCAAGGTCTTCACTAGTGCAAATTTCGGTGGCTCCAGTTTCACGATTGATACTGAAGACTATGCGAGTGGCCAGCGTCACAGACTCTTGACGGAAAATTACAACAAGGCCTGTTGGGTTACGTGGAACCTACCGTTGGGTACGGTAATGACAATGGTGGAACTCGACAAAACCCCTGAGAAGAACCAGCCCGTCGCCGATCCTCGTGGTTGTGGTCGTACCGTTGAGTTGGTAGGTACTGGCAAGACGGAAGCAGTTGACCTGATCCGAATACTCATGACTACTTGCGTGAAAGGATTCTGGTGGCGAGAAGTGGATCTATCGATGGGGGCCGTCGAGCTTTTTGACGCTCATGCGCGTGAATTAATTGGAAGCCAAACATACAGCCGTCAAACTATATTCTTGAGCGAGTGGGCGCCAGGGGTTCTCCATTCATTCAATTTCTGGTGGATGAACGACCGAGTCACTTGTGCGCGTTGGCACACACTTCTTAACCGACAAACGGTTACCCTTTTCGAGCATGCCAATGGCACTGGGTACGAGTTTAACAACATCCGGGCATGGGGAAAAACCAAGGAGGTCTATGACCTCCATGTTGTCAACCACGGCGACAAACTCAGTGCATTTTCGTGGACCTCAGTCAGCCCTGTCAAGGAAAAGATCGAACCTATCACCATCAGCCACGATCGTTCAAGCTGCTCAATGCTCTACAACGAAAAGAAAGGCGTGAACTACAGCACTCAGGCGCAGCCAAGCAAGATCGCGCTCATGGAACCTGCAACTCAAGAACTCACGATCGAAAGCACCGATGCAACAGCTACCTCAGTCAAAGCCTGTCTGCAAAGCACTGTTGGATCCGGCTGCGAGGAGAAGGAATCCTACGACGTCCAATGGACACTTTCCGTCTCACACTCCTGGGACGACGCCTCCGCCAAAAGCAAATTATACACGCACGCCGAAGCCCTGACCTTCGAAGAGCCACTCCACATCTCTCCACGTTCCAGGTACACCGCCAAGCTCTACGTACCGGTCCGAAAGCTGGTCCACGAGGAGTACAAGACCAAGGCCACGCGCTGGTACAAACAGCGTATAATGGGTTGTGTGCAAGATGGCAACCTGTACAAACGAGATGAGACGGTGACGGTGCATGTGAATGGGACGCTGCACCATTCGCCTGAGATGATCTGGCATGAGACTAGGCTTGATAGGTAGAGGTTGGGTGGTGCGATTAGGTAGCGAAGGCGAGCGGGAACGATGTAGTGAATACATAACGATATTTTGATTCTAGTTCGCAACTTATGACGGGATTGGTGCGCATTGATGCTGCGCCTAGTTTATCTTCTAGCTCCTCGAGGCTGTATGAGGCCTTTATACTAACAGGGCTCGACTTTTCTCAGCGTAGGTCGAAAATCTGTTGGATACCGTAGATGCAGTCTTCTTCGTTGCTTGGGTTGCGCGACATCGCAGTGGCGAAGAGACGCATAGGGTCGTTTCGGTTCAAGCCGATGATGCCGAGGTCGCTTAGCTGGAGAGTGACCTGCTCTGCCTCCAACCCCTCCATTCCAGACCAACACGAACGCCAAACTGAATTGCAAGCGCCCAGAAGATGCTGCAAGCGGAGGTAGTCGGAAATCGTAGTATGGGTGTCGTTGATTGCTAGCGATTCGCCGTTGTCCATAAGAAGAACGGCGTCCTTGCGCAAATACGTCTCCTGCAGTGTCCACACTGAGGAAAACCTCGGCTCCCAATTGAATTCTGCTAACACAACTACCGCCTGATCCAGGGCTTCCTGGTTGTACCTCCCTGTATTCCATTGGTCGTACATACACTTCCAGAAACTCCAAAACACATGAAGTTCTTCAAACCTACGTGCTGAACTACGGCCAAGCCAAACGTAGACACGATGCGCATGTCCAAAGATCTGTGCCTGTCGACCGATCTCGAGGTCGCTGTCGATATTTCTTCTCTGATCAATGCACGCGATATCGATCCATAAGTATTCGATGCAAGGTAGTCTGAGGTAGACCTTTGGATAGTCGCGTTCAGCTTTGCGACGTCGAAATGAACTGGTTTGATCATCGGTATAGACCATTCAATGCCGTTGACATGAGTATTGGAACTTGGAATGATGGGTCAATCTCGCGGAAACGACCCCATGTGTAGGCAATCGCATTGTACTGCGTCGAGTAGACACTTCCGTATAAATTTCCAGGGACCCACTCATGAGAAGTCATTGAAGGAACATGGAGAAGGCGACGGGGCCAGCGTCCAAGCCTTGCTTCCAGTTTTATAGCGGCCCTGTGTTGCTCATTCGCTGCAGCCATTTCGAGGGAGATTCACGTGAGCAGTATCAATGTTCGATGGATGTGTGTCCTCAGCCGTTTGGAATACCGTAGTCTAGAGCGAGGAAGGCCTCTTATGTACTCTTCTACTCGCAGCCATTGCCCGACATTCTGCAAGCAAGATTGTTGTGTTACTCGAGGTACAGCGAAGCCACTGTCTTGAACATATGATAGCCACTGACGAGAACGCTGTTTGTTACACAGAAGTGTGATTCTGCGTGTTCGCACTTTGCGAAACGAATCATCTACGCTGTCGCAAAGCCACACGAGAACGGGACGATGAATGGAGTGCAACAATTTCATTCCCATGCTGTGCGACAGTAAGCACATTGACGATAAGTAATACGGCTGCTGGATTGGACGAGTAAAGGGAAGCACTGGCTCAGCTCGCTAGCGTATGAGTAAGATCGAACACAGTCAATTTGTAGCACTTAGTGTCGTGCTGCTTCTTTTTGAACCTTCTAAGAGCATCTTGTACATCTTGCGGAAACGAGGGTAACATATTTCTGTAATAGCTAAGTGTATGCAAACTTAAAAAGGCCGTGTGATAAAGGATGACAGTCTATCGCCTGTTGTCCGCGCACGTAAGCGTAGTGTTTCGCACCTTTGTAAACTATAAGTGACCTGTACAGCTATTCGGTAGAAGCTAGAGCTTCGATCGAGCAACTTGTTCGATCCTTTTAGGGACTCTTTACTCCTAGTAGTACATAGAGTATCGGACTCGGAGTTAGTCGAACTGACAGGTAACGGAGACCTCTGTAATGTTTCTTTCTCTGAAACCATAGGTCGGGGTGAACTTGATAGTAGGTGGGCTTTAGCAGCATCCTTGACAGCGCCGAAGCTGTTGTGGTACGTTGTCGTTAAGGTCGCGGATATTACCTCGCCGTCCCCACCATCCAGGTATATTGGCTCTGCTTCGGCGGACTTTGCAGTCGAGCGCTTGAACCCCGATTCCGGAAATTTAGCTGCTAGTGCCTCTTCAGTAGTTGCCACAAGATGGCTATTCGTGTGTCGGTATATGTACATCGCGAGCGTGGCGTAGAGCTAGTAACCTAGCTATAGATACTGCATCGACGTAGGCATCCAGATGATGGAGCTGAGGAGTCCAGTTGGAAACATCATTCCAAAACAGATGATGACGGCGAATTGCGCACGCTCTCGTGTCCGATTTGTGGCTGGATAGCCGGAGTGGCGGAAGAACTGGAGAACGGTAAACTCTTTTCCCTCGATCAGGAATATGCCTTGCTGTGGGTGGATTTTCTCGAAGAACTTGGTACTTTCTGCTATATCCAACGCTGGTTTAGGGGCGAGATCTTCTCTGGAGATGGCAAAGATTGCGCTGATCCATTTCAAGAGAAGTGGAGAGAACCAGAGCCAGGCAAACCAAGATCGCCACACTATCGCAACGGTGACGCCTGCTAGCACATCACTCAACTCTGACACCAGAAGAGCGAAGAAGACCCCTCCAAGAAACACCCGTGGTATCGTTTGATACAGCTCTACCCTTGTGCGGTGGACTAGTGGTATAGTCAAGAACGAGTTTGTTGAGCATAGTCCTGGCTCTCACAGGCCACCCATTCTGGAGACCGTTTCTAGGTTTCTTAACAGGAATTGGTAAAAGTGAGCCCGCTCGAATCTACAATCTATTGCGGACAAGTTTAGTCGACTCCTGTTGACCGTTACACCAGACTGCGTATGACTAGCCGCCATTTTTGAAGAATGCAGTGCCTAGCATGTGTCCAGTCGTGTCTCCTTTGAACAGTCGGTTTTCGAAGAACTTGTCCAGCGTGTGAAGTGCAGCGCGATGCACTGGACCGCCCATTGGCATGAACAATACCACCTCAAACATATGGTATATGCTGAACCAATTCCAGAATCTCTGTGGCCATAGCAGGCGTTCGAAAACTTGATCAGTCGCGGCCTCTGCCCCAATGTAGCCGATGAGCGTACCCAATGCACTCAGAATAGAGGTCTGTTCCAAGAGCGAAGGGCTCCCACCGTGTCGTTGCAAGATTGGTGGCATCTCGGTTATGGAGTAGGAAGATCGGTAAGCCGCAGCATCAGAGAGGGATTTCTGGCCGAAGTGGGAGTTCAGCAAGTAGGCCACAATGAGGCTCTGGTAGCTTTTCAGATAGGCGCAGTGACGGAAGGCTGTAGAGGGCAAAATATATGACGGCAGGAAGATCAATAGAAGCTGGTGAAGGCTTGAGAGCTGCAGGATGACGATAGATGCTGGGATTGCCGCCTTTGAAGACTTCCATGGCTGTGCGGCATGCTCCTTTGAAGTGATCGTCGTGAACTGGTCATATATCAGATGGCGTGATGGGCTTTTGATACGGGGTAGTCTGCCATTAGTAGGTCGTTGTGTGTAATGATCCCCTGGTCCGCCTATGCCCCTACGCTACCCCGCTACTGTCGTGTAACCAGGATCGTATATCTGCCTCATCGCGGCAACAGGGCATAGAGGAGCAGCATTCTCTTGAATCAGATCACCGGAAGCTTACCAGTCAATACTAAGCTCATGATTTGCCTCTCCGTATACTTCGTCAGCGAAGACAAAGCTTAAAGTACAGCAAGAGTACATACGTTATACGAGTCCAAGATATGACCTTGGCTTGATTATGCTTCGAAGATCTGACCGCTTGGATAGCGTTAATCCATTCATAATAGGCTCATATAACTATCGCGTGATGCGCCATTGCAGTAATGGCGTTCCACTCGGCTGAGATGCGTCTGCCGCACTTCCTCACCAGGCATTCGATTTACCCCAGCATGCACAATATCACGCTCAGAATGTGGGCAGACAAGCTAGATCAGCATCCTTAGGACGCGTAGCTTGAGAGAGCCTGGCAATTAGCCTCGTTGCAACGATGGGCATGGTGATGCGAAGCTGCTGAAGAGCCACCGGTCGCATAGAGTTGTAGATGCCACCGCATCCTCGTCGATCGCATAATGCCGTTGTCGAGGGAACCGGAGAACCGTGGATATACCGTAGAATAAATTGATTCTGCAGCGACATGGTTCTCTCCTGCCTGACGGTGCTATTGTGATGATGCGGCGCTGCATCCACCCTCACTCGTCTGTTGCAGACGACTCAGATAGTCAGCTTTCTCTTGCGACTTCCTCAGGCGATGAGACGATGAATATGAACTACGGGAGCTGAGCGAGTCCTTCGTACCGAGGCTATGCTGATTGGAACGATGTGCGCAGAACACTCACACTGCAAAGGATGCAAGGCGTTTGTGAAGATGACGCCGGAGGTCATCATCTCACCTGTATCTCTTCTTGTGGCGGTCAACAAGTTGTCATGAGACTGTGAATCTTAGCGGAATCAACCTAGGGCATCATGAGTATGCGACGAAGGAAGACCATTGACCGGAAGTTGTTGGTTGCAGCGTTAGACTTGGGTGTGTGAATGTCATGATTGGGAGCAGCCGATAGCGGCCATTGCACAACGACCTCGTGAGCGTCGCCGCGAGTGCGCGGCGGCCACGCGGCTAAAATTCTCGCCGAATGACAATATCTGATCCGACAACATCATACATCACTCGAAAGCACACTGCAAACTCAACTTATCAACAATGGGCGCCATGGCTTCATTGCCAGGCGTTATCTTTCTTATCTCGAGGATTTAGTAGTAGTGGGTCAAGACGCAACGTCCGACGGAAGCAGAGTTCCGGAGCGCAAAATGTGCCGACAGGCAAGACCACCCGCTGCACTGATGCAGCCGAACTGATGCGACAACTACACAGACGGTGAAAGCAGTATCTACACACTCTCCAATGCCATGTGTGTATGGCAGAGTTTCAATTACTACAACATAGGTCAGCGAGGCGACAGTCAGCGCGGTGCAAAGAATGCGCCGAGGAT